GCTCAATACTCCTCTCAGTCTACGCCCTTGGAACTAGTTCTATTCATACACTGTGACGATGTGCCACGTCACACGCTCACTCCTGCCAACAAAGGTACTGTATATAGGCAACGCTTCGCTAGGGCACCTTCAGTAGACGAACGGACATTATCGCACAACAAGCTCTCTCCTCAAGTGCCTCCACAAGATATCATAATGTCTCTCCTTCAGAGTTTCTCGAGTGGTCAGCCAGTTTATGAGTCTGGCGTCAAGTGTTGCAACTGCGGCGGCGTGAAGCGGCCCTGGGACATGTTCCTCCCCATCACTCTCAGAGGAAGTTTCTTCCAAGACTCGTTCTTCTCCAACTTGCACCAGCATTTCCACGCCACCGTCAGGGACATACTGAACAGATGGAGCGACTCTGACCTCAAGCTCACCGACCCCTGGGACGACGTCAATGCCCGCCACACTGACATCCTTGATCGTTACCGCCAGCTTCGCTCCCGCAACCTGAAGGAGGAAAATCAAGCTGTTGCCGTCACGTCGGATGACACCAGCCGAAAGGTCTGTAAAGCGAGCAGTATACACTTCTTGTAAAATTGGTTAAGACTGTACTGAGCTAGACCCGGGGTTCTCAAACTTTTCAACTCGTCGACCCCTAATGAGGTGTCACATTTTCTATAAACCCCCTTAGCTTTTAATTAAAGGAGAAAAAACTATGATGATAAAATCAATATTAGTAATAATAGCAGTAGTAGTACTAGTGCTAGTAGTAACAGTAGTATGATAAAAAGGAAAAAACAAGTCATATTAATCATTCCACGGATAACACTTAAACGAGCGAAGAGTGTTCTGAAGCTCTCCTGCAAGCGAGAGAGATTGGGGAGGTGGGGGGGGGGACGCTCGCTTGCTCAGTATGGGACGCAATTGGAATATATTCTGCACGGATATAATCTAAAACGGAGGCTTGAATGGTCCATTCGACTCCCAGTAAACATACAACGTCCTCTGACTATTCATCGACCCCTTGGGTGATCCCATCGACCACTTTCACAACCCCTGAGCTAGACGAAAAGCATATAGTATTTTTTTTTTATTATTATTATCTCAATAAGTATATTATTAATCATTAGGTGGTAATGGACGTGCATGACTTCATGGGCGGAGACGTGAAGGTGAAAGTGGTAGGCGAGAAAGACCTCGTGGTGGAGGGCAGTGTGGAGAAGAAAGAGGGAGGCTCCTCAGTGTCCTCGCACTCCTTCAGACGCCGCTTCTCCTTGCCTCGTCTCACTGACTTGTCAGCCATTGACTCTGTCATGTCTTCGGATGGTATCCTCACCATTACATCGCCCAAAATTGTGAGTAACAAATTGTTACACAAAATGATATGTATGTTTCACTGATACACGATTGAACAAATCGCCTATGTATTCTTAACATTTCATTATGTGTCACTGTTTCACAGGAGAGCGAACCACAGCACAAGACCACCATCATCCCCATCCAGATGGAGGAAACTCAGAATAAGAGTGTTAGTGAAGCAGCTTCGTCTGAATCTTTCAAATGTGAACAGTGTAGTCAAAAGCAGACTTCTGTCAATGGAAGCAACCAGGGAGTAAGTGTTCCCATCAAGAACTACGAGCAACCTTCGGAGGCCAACAAATCGCAGTCGAAACAGAGTCAGATCACTCAAGAATCTGCTCAGTCATCGACTTCCCCCAGATTGATTCCCATTGAAATCGAAGCAGATGAAGGTACAAATAAAGCTCTCTTGAGTCAGGGGACGCAGTCATCGGAATCCCAGCTAAAATCCTTAGAAAATGACAAGATGTTTCAAATGGATTCATTCCCTGGACACTTCTTTCCCATTACAACAGCGAGGACTCTTCTTCAATGACTCGTTCTTCCAAGACTCGTGGAATGACTTCCAGAAGGCCGTGAGGGAGGTGCTGGCCAGGTGGGGAGAGCAGTCATCGCTGGTCGACGACCTGACTAGTTACAGGAATCTTCGAAGTCGCGACCTTCGAGAAGATACTCAGGCTGTCACGTCCTCAGAGGATGAACATCAGCATAAGGTACATATATGGTCTTTACGTTAAACAGATTTATTTATGAAAACAATATGTGCATATGAATACACTGTTTGAAGTGTATATCGTTCTGCTTCCTTTTCAGTTTCTAATTGATGTCAAAGATTTCATGGACGGTGGAGAGATAAACGTGAAAGCTGTGAACGATCGAGAGCTGGTGGTTTCAGGTTCGAAGTCCAATAAGCGGTTCCTTCGACGCTTCGTTGTTCCTGGAGACATTCAGCTTGATGCCGTTACTTCAGTCGTGTCTTCTGATGGAGTCCTCACTGTTTCTGCTCCGAAGAAGGTAGGGTACAGCTAAATAGACCTTAACACATAATTCCAAAAAGTCTATATTATGTATAAATCCATTTATTGACACCTTTGCTAACCTAATCTCCTCCACCAGCATTCAACACTCCAGATAGAGGAGGTCTTTTCGCCCTTAAGCATCGAAGGAAGTGAGAAAAAGCTGACCAGCCCAGGCACGACCACGGGCAACAACTCATCGGGAGTTACGACGTCTCCTGTCGGTCAGCAGACATCCACAAACCAAAGTTCTAATCCTCTAAACGTAAGAATTTGCACATATCTTCCAAGTTGTAACTGTTCATAAAGCAAGTCATTTTGTTCTCACTGCTAAATGAAATGAAGAAATGGATGATAATTGAAATTATTTTTTAAAAATGTGAAAACATATAAAATTAAGGGATATTCTAAATCAAATGACATTTTTAGCACACGTTTATAAAAAAAATGCTGACGTTTAATATCATCAAACACTTAATTATCTACCGGAATCTAATCGCCAACAGAAAGAAGATCCTTACGTACTCGTGACTGCAGTTCCCGCGAGAGTCGAAGAAGTGCCAGACTCAGCAGAGACGAAAAAAGCCTCTTCCTCCTCTGCTCCTTTGAAAAACGTCTCTGTTAAGCCAAAATCCTCCGACACAAAGGGAAAGGAAGGCAACGAAGGGGAAGAGGAGAAGGTCGACTATAAAGCAGCGCTCAAGCAGAGAACCGGTGGAGGAAAATTCCCAATCAAGATCAGTGGGACGGTGATCGGTAGTGACTCAGTATGAGATGAATGAGAGGAAAGTTGATAGCAGGAATGGATGTGAGTTTGCGCTTGCAGAATTATGTAGATGTAAACTTTTATTGTTATTGTTTGTGTAATTCACGTTACTGTTGCTGTCTGTAATATTTGATCCCCTTATTATTACTGATTGTATATTATTCCAAGCTTCTCTGAGCAAGTACTTCTTACTGCAGGAGACACGGTTTAGGATACTTGCAAATTATTTTTATAGGCTCTACCTTTTATATATGGGCACACAAATAAATCTTATCTATATTATCAGATCTTTATATATCTGTGTTGATTTACCTATACTTAAATTCCTAAGCTCATGCAGATAATCAAACAAATATACATTATGCAGAAAGCCAGAGAACAATGCAGACTGTCTTATATCCATGAAAAGGACACGCACTCCCATGATAATGATGATTGTAAGAATAACCATAAAAGTAATAATAAAAAAATAATAGCAATGATGATAATACTGGCAACCATGGTAATAATGTTAATAATAAAGATTAATCAGGAATTGAAACAATAATAACAATAGTAATGATAATAATGAAAGTAATAATAACAAAGATAATGATGAGGATGATTATAATGATCATGATCATAATAATAACAGTAGTGATAACAATAACAAGAATATTAATCACAAGAAGACGAAGAACGAAAAAAAAGTGTGCAGTCGAAACGACATAAATTTGTCGATTTTTTATGTTATTATTAGTACAAGGAAATATTAAGCTGCATTTTTTTGAAAGCCTTGACGTTGTTAAACACGCATTTGACTGACCGCTTATGAAGTCAAAGGCCGGTGTCATGGCAGTCATCAGCATCGCCATGTAGTTCGTTCTCCCTCATTTGCCACCTCCCTTATCTCCGTTTGAATAAATTTCCCGTTAATGCACGTGGCACATCGTCACAGCGTATGCATAGAACTAGTTCCAAGGATGTAGACTGAGAGGAGTATTGAGCTTCTAGCACAGATTGTGTGATCTCTAACACATAAAAACGTTCTTATATTTTAGTAACAGTGTCTTTCCCACCTCCCTCATTTCCCTTAGAACAGCTTTCTCAGCACTGCCCTAAAGAGTAAAATTGTCTTTCCCTCCTCCCTCATTTCCCGTAGAACAACTTTCCCAGCATTGCATTGTAAAGTAAAATTGCCTTCAGAATCCTTTAATTTAGCCAGGTAACACAGTGTCATGCCCCGTTGTTAAGACTTCACTAAGATTAACTTACAGCCATTCGTCTGCGTGTGAAGGTGTGATGGCTATTGTTATCAAGTAACACGATAATACATAAGGCATACTCGGAGGTGTATTGTTATACTGTGAATATGCTGTACGTATTGTGATCACCCTTTTAGAGCCGAAGTTGTTCTTGACATTACCCAGTCGGACTTGTGCCAAGGCTTCTTCTACATCAGGACGGATGCAGATTCTTTTTTTATAACATGATTGAGTATCCACTTCTTGACATTAGTCTTGCAGGCAAAAAATATTCAAAACTAATTCGTTGGTTTTCTATTGTATTTAAACACGCTACTTACACTCCTCAAAGAGCGTTTGAGCGATCTGTATTTTGTCATAATTTTAGTAAATGTTGGAGAACTATGACAAAGAGCATTTCCACCCTACAGGGAATGTAAACAACGCGTTTAAGTGCGATGGTAAGCTAACGAATTTGTTTTCTATTTCAAAGATAGAACATGTTTCTAAATAGTTCTTGATTAAACTTTCTGTATTATGAAACTTAATCACATATTTTATTTATATAGCGCTTTCAACACGAACGATATATCGCTCAGTTTACGACGCGAAATTGTGTGTGTGTGTGTGTTAGTGAGTGAGTGAGTGAGTGAATGTGTGTGTGTGTGTGTGTGTGTTAGTGAGTTAGTGAGTGAGTGAGTGAGTGAATGTGTGTGTGTGTGTGTGTACGTGTGCATATGTGTGCATGTGTGTGTAGACCTAGTACGTGAATCCATATACCAGTATATTCCCAAATCATGTCATTGTCCCATTAACCTTTCCTCCAGTATCTCACAACCGCTGTGCTTTGAACGTTTCCTCCCTCATAGCGAAGCACTGAATCACCCGAATAAATCAGAGATTCCCGCACCTGGCAGGAGTACTAGAAGGCGCCCCACATTTTGGGATTCTTGCCAACTTGTGCCAAGAGAAACCTTAATTCCCAAAAGAGAGGAACAGGAAGTTGTATTTATACGCATATATATATATATATATATATATATATATATATATATATATATATATATATATATATATATATATATATATCTGTGTGTGTGTGTGTGTGTGTGTGTATATGTATACATATATTTATATGTGTATGTATATATTACGTATATGTATATATATACATATACGTAATATATACATACACATATATAATTATATGTATATATACATACATATTTACACATATATATACGCACACATACTCTCACGTGTTTATACGCATATATATATATATATATATATATATATATATATATATATATATATATGTGTGTGTGTGTGTGTGTGTGTGTGTGTGTGTGTGTGTGTGTGTGTGTGTGTATACACATATGTGCGAGTATGTATGTATATATATACACACATACATACTCACAGATATGCACACACACACACACACACACACACACACACACACACACACACACACACACGCACACACACATATACACATACACACACATATGTATATATATAATTTGATTCTTGTGAATAGTACTCTGATAACTTCAATAAATGCTGAATTGCACAAATAAAGTTTAAAGTTCCGATGTATTTATCTAAATATTATTTTTTTCATGATGTACACATTAGAACCCTCCACCTTTATCTAGAAAGGGATTAATGCACGTACCATTTATAACATCTTTCCCATAACTAAACCTTACCTTCCCTAGCCCATGTACTAATCTCCATAGGTTTGCACGTTCCTATGAGAAGAGAATCCTTGTATACGCTGACAACATACCCACCCTGCTTTCCTTCCTGATCCATTTCGTTGCAGGCCTAATAATGTTTGTTTTGCCGATGTAAGCATGGGATGTGGCAGTTGTAATGCCTTACTGGTATTGTGCGGACGTCCTGGTTTCGAGGGTAGTCCAGACTGATTTCGCTTTTCTGATATTACTTCCTTAAGACGTCGACAAAATTTCCCCCGATACACGAGTTGGTCGTCTCGGAACTACTATGGAATAAAAACGACCAGGGCTATTTTCTATTGGTTCGTTGGGTCTGTGCGCACTCGCAGCCGTAGAAACCAGGCTTCGGTGGGACTGTTTTAAAATAATGCTGGTATTCAAACAACTCAAGGATCTCATTGTCTAATTCTGTGGATATGTATTTTGACCTTATTTTCAAAGATTGTACTTATTATTGTTGTTTTCCTGAGGCCGATTGTTTTGTTTATTTAGTTTATCAGATGTATTGATATGTAATACTTACTATCCACGTTTTAATTTCTTACTTAAGAATTGAAGCTTCACGTAGAAATTCCTGTTTTCATCAATTGTAGAATTGATTTAGAATCTCAGCAAAAGCGCTTTTACGTAACATAAAGGCTAAGATAAAGGAAAAAAGTGTTTGCTGATTATATATATATAAATATATTTTTTGGGTATACGTATTAACAGTGAATTAACATAAAATATCTTTGGCATTGTGCGACCAACGAATTATTTACAGGGATCCTGAACTGCCTCATTCAGTTTCAAGTCCTTGGTCAAAGAACTCTGTATACAAATATTGACAGTAAGAAAATCATAAGCACATATTTGTACCGGCGAACTCACTTTCATTCCTGTTATCAACTTTTCCTCGCACTCTTAAACTGCATTACTGTTGATTACTGTCCCACTGATTTTGATTGGGAATTTCCCTCCGCTGGGTCTTGGCTTGAGCGCCGCCTTATAATCGACCTTCTCCTCGTCACCTTCGTTGCCTTCCTTTCCCTTTGGTCTGGCGGAGACGCTTTTCAAAGGAGCGGAAAAGGAAGAGGGTTGTGTCTCTGTTGGAACCTGCACCTCTTCGATTCTCGCGGGACCTGCAGTCATGTGTGGGTACGAGTCTTCTAACTGTTGGCGAATAGAATTGGGGTGCTAGTTGTAGGATTGTATGTAACATTAACATATAATTCTTTATAGGATTGTTAAAGAGATTTATACGTATACTTCAACTTTCTTTTACTGTTCGTCTGTTATTTTTTGTTTATCTTATGCACTAATTTTAAAAAATGAAGATATATACAAATACTTACGTCTCGGGAATCAGGAATTTGCTCTGTGGAAGTCTTTTGACCGACAGGAGACGCCGTGGCGCCCGAAGACATAGGCGGAGGGGCCACAGGACTTCCCTGACCATTTTGAAGTTCAGATTGAGTCGTGCCTGGGCTAATAAGCTTCTTCTCACTTACTTCGATGCTTAAGGGCGAAAAGACCTCCTCTATCTGGAGTGTTGAGTGCTGGAGAAGGAGAGGGGGTTAACAAATATTTCGATAAATGGATCTACTCATAATAAGGACTTCGTACAATCATGTATTGTTATATTTTTATCTGCAACTTACTTTCTTCGGAGCAGAAACAGTAAGGACGCCATCGGAAGACACGGCTGAAGTAACGGCATCAAGCTGAATGTCTCCAGGAACAACAAAGCGTCGAAGGAACCGCTTGGTGGACTTCGAGCCGCCCTCATTCTTGCCGATGTGGCCTGAAACCACCAGTTCTCGATCGTTCACAGCTTTCACGTTTATCTCTCCGCCATCCATGAAATCTTTGACATCAATTACAAACTGAAAGATAAGCAGAACGTTGATTTATTTTTTATAGATTACACTCATATGTATATATTGTTTTCATAAAAACTTCTGTTTAACGGAAAAAACATATATGTACCTTATGCTGATGTTCATCCTCCGAGGACGTGACAGCCTGAGTATCTTCTCGAAGATCGCGACTTCGAAGATTCCTGTAACTAGTCAGGTCGTCGACCAGCGATGACTGCTCTCCCCACCTGGCCAGCACCTCCCTCACGGCCTTCTGGAAGTCATTCCACGAGTCTTGGAAGAACGAGTCATTGAAGAAGAGTCCTCGTGTTGTAATGGGAAAGAAGTGTCCAGGGAATGAATCCATTTGAAACATCTTGTCATTTTCTAAGGATTTTAGCTGGGATTCCGATGACTGCGTCCCCTGACTCAAGAGAGCTTTATTTGTACCTTCATCTGCTTCGATTTCAATGGGAATCAATCTGGGGGAAGTCGATGACTGAGCAGATTCTTGAGTGATCTGACTCTGTTTCGACTGCGATTTGTTAGCCTCCGAAGGTTGCTCGTAGTTCTTGATGGGAACACTTACTCCCTGGTTGCTTCCATTGACAGAAGTCTGCATTTGACTACACTGTTCACATTTGAAAGCTTCAGACGAAGCTGCTTCACTAACACTCTTATTCTGAGTTTCCTCCATCTGGATGGGGATGATGGTGGTCTTGTGCTGTGGTTCGCTCTCCTGTGAAACAGTGACACATAATGAAATGTTAAGAATACATGAGCGATTTGTTCAATCGTGTATCAGTGAAACATACATATCATTTTGTGTAACACTTTGTTACTCACAATTTTGGGCGATGTAATGGTGAGGATACCATCCGAAGACATGACAGAGTCAATGGCTGACAAGTCAGTGAGACGAGGCAAGGAGAAGCGGCGTCTGAAGGAGTGCGAGGACACTGAGGAGCCTCCCTCTTTCTTCTCCACACTGCCCTCCACCACGAGGTCTTTCTCGCCTACCACTTTCACCTTCACGTCTCCGCCCATGAAGTCATGCACGTCCATTACCACCTGATGATTTATAACATATATATTAGAATAAAAAGATGTATTTTCCTTTCGGTTCAATATATTTCTAGCCAATATTGCAAATGGCATCTCCTGTTCGCATTACAGACCTTTTGGCTGGTGTCATCCGACGTGACGGCAACAGCTTGATTTTCCTCCTTCAAGTTGCTGGAGCGAAGCTGGCGGTAACGATCAAGGATGTCAGTGTGGCGGGCATTGACGTCGTCCCAGGAGTCGGTGAGTTTGAGGTCAGAGTCGCTCCATCTGTTCAGTATGTCTCTGACGGTGGCGTGGAAGTGCTGGTGCAAGTTGGAGAAGAACGAGTCTTGGAAGAAACTTCCTCTAAGAGTGATGGGGAGGAACATGTCCCAGGGCCGCTTCACGCCGCCGCAGTTGCAACACTTGACGCCAGACTCATAAACTGGCTGACCACTCGAGAAACTCTGAAGGAGAGACATTATGGTATCTTGTGGAGGCACTTGAGGAGAGAGCTTGTTGTGCGATAATGTCCGTTCGTCTACTGAATGTGCCCTAGCGAAGCGTTGCCTATATACAGTACCTTTGTTGGCAGGAGTGAGCGTGTGACGTGGCACATCGTCACAGTGTATGAATAGAACCTCAGCTGCTGCCTAGAAATAAAGAGTGAGAGGTATGAACAGAGCTAGACGCACAAACACATTTATACATATACATACATATATACATATAGATATATTTACAAACATTGTATATATGTATACATACATACATATATATGGACACACACACACACACATAATTTATATATATATTTATATATATATATACATTTACATATACTGATGGATAAATAGATATAATGCAACTATGTATACATACATTTATATATACATATGTATATATATATGTATATATATACATATATACACATTTATATATATATACATATATACACATTTATATATATATATATATATATATATATATATATATATATATATATATATATACATACACACACACA